TCCGACTGCCCGTTTAGGCCGATCCCGGACAGTCGACATACTCTCACATCAAGACTGCTGGCTCCAAACACTCGCCTGCCTGCCTGATTGCACCTAACCACTTCTGGCTGCCAGCCTGATCACCCCTAACCACTCCCCTGCAAGCCTGATCGATGCCTAACTGCTCCCCTGCCGGCCCAGTTGCCCCTAACTGCTCTCCCCTGCAGGCCTGGTCCCCCCCAACTGCCCGCCCCTGCAGTCCCTGGTCACCCCTAACTGCCCTCCCCTGCAGGCCTGGTCACCCCTGACTGCTATCCCCTGCAGGCCTGTGTCCCCCCCAGCTGCCCTCCCCTGCAGGCCTGATCCCCCCACAACTGCCCTCCCCTTCAGGCCTGAGTCCCCTACAACTGCCCTCTCATGCAGGCCTGTTCCCCCCCAACGGCCCTCCCCTGCAGGCCTGGTCCCCCCCAACTGCCCTCCCTTGCTGACCTGGTCCCCCTCAACTGCCCTCCCCTGCAGGCCATCTTGTGGCCACATGGGGGCGGCCATGTTGTGTGTTGGAATGATGGTCAATTTGCATACTGGCTGTCACTAATTAGCATATTAGGGCTAATTACCATATCCCTCTTATTTGTTGGAGTGATGGTCAATTTGCATACTGGTTGTGACTAATTAGCATATCTGGTCATGACTGATTAGTGATCTGGGCTAATTAGCATATCCCTCTCTTATTATATAGGATATGTTTGCCTATATAATCAAAATTGTAATTTATGACTCAGGAAACTACTTAAGAACTTACTTAGTATTAAAAAAGGGATAATATTGTAGAAATTACCTAGTTTGCCTTTGCTTTCCCATATTTACTAGTATCATAAACTCCCAAGTTAAAAAATGGTAGGGTATTCTTTCTGGCATTATTATTACTAATTTGTTTTTGCCTTTTGTTCTACTTAGTAGCACTTTTAAAGTTAAAAATTAGTTAGATTTATTTTCAGTAAATTTAAATTTTTTAATATAGTCAAATAGAATTTTAGTAGCAATCTTTTATACTCTCTTAAGAAGAACTTTCGCCCACCTGAATATGATTTTTTTTTTTAGTACTTGTGTTTTGATGCATGATTATAATTTGGAAAAATTAAACTGTTTTGATTCTTGCCACCCTAATTCCACTCTCAGTTCTTTATCCTATGGCTATTTTCACAGCTAAAGTATCTATTTATAAGCTATTATTTCCTACTAGAGGCCCGGTGCACAAAAATTTGTGCACTCGGGTGTTTCCCTCAGCCAGGCCTGTGCCCTCTCGCAGTCTGGGACCCCTCTGGGATGACCACCTGCTGGCTTAGGCCTGCTCCCTGGGGGGGATTGGGCCTAAGCTGGCAATCAGACACCCCTCTGGCAGCCCGGGAGCCTCGGGGGATGTCCACTTGCCAGCAGGGAGCAGGCCTAAGCTGTAGTCAGACATCCTTAGCGCTGCTGAGGAGGTGGGAGAGGCTCCCACCACCACCACTGTACTGGCAGCTGGCCTGGCTTGTGGCTGAGCAGAGCTCCCCCTGTGGGAGTGCACTGACCACCAGGGGGCAGCTCCTGCATTGAGCGTCTGCCCCCTGTTGGTCAGTGTGTGTCCTAGTGACCAGTCATTCCCAGTCGTTCTGCTGTTAGGGTCAATTTGCATATTACCCTTTTATTATATAGGAGTGCCTGGCCAGGCTGGGTGAGGGGCTAATGGCTGTTTGCAGGCTGGCCACAGCCCCTTCAAGGTGGGGGTCCCCCCTGGGGTGCCTGGCCAGCCTGGGTGAGGGCCTGATGGCTGTTTGCAGGCTGGCCACAGTCCTTTCAGGGTGGGGATCCCCCTGGGGTGCCTGGCCAGCCTGGGTGAGGGGCTGATGGCTGTTTGCAGGCTGGCCACAGCCCCTTCAGGGTGGGGGTTCTGCTGGGGTGCCTGGCCAGTCTGGGTGAGGGGCTGAGGGCCGTTTTCAGGCTGGCTACGCCCCCCAGCGGGGACCCTTACCCCATGAGGGTGTGGCCAGCCTGGGTGAGGGGCTGATGGCTGTTTGCAGGCTGGCCACAGCCCCAGCCAACCCAGCTCCCAGTGGAGGCTGGCTGGAAGCAGGTATCTGGGATTTATTTATCTTCTATAATTGGAACTTTGTTGCCATGAGGGGAGGCCACAGCCAGCTCAGGGCAGGCAGGAAGCTTGGCTTCCTCCATCGCCCGGGCAACCAAGCCTCCTGCTTGCTCCAGCTCTCTGGCTGCTGACTGCCATCTTGGTTGGGTTAATTTGCATATAGTCGCTCTGATTGGCTGGTTGATGTGGCTTAGGGTGTAGCAAAGGTACAGCCAATTAAGCCTCTTAGTCTTTTATTAGTGTAGATGTAAGAAAACTGAGATATAACTTTGTAAAAGGACTTATCCCCAGTAATACAACTCTGGACACAGACCTATTACTATGACTTTCAAATTGGTACTCTTTTTTCTGTACCCTCTTGCATTATTTACCTCTTCACTTCTCAAAACTATTCACTTCTCTCT